TACATGAATTAGATATATATAATCATATCTCAACAGATTATTTATATGGTGATAAAATGTCTCTCTTTAATGAGACAAAAGCATATAGTGATAAACATAACCTCAAGGAGTTTATAAAACTAAATTTTACTTCAATATTTAATTATAGGATCATTGTAAACTTATGATTCATATTAATTCTGCATAGACTATTATACAGAATTCAAAGGTTAATTTTATTGAATCACAGTAAGTTTACAACCACCAAAAGAGAAATAATATTATAACAATTCTAGGTAAAGAACTTAAATTCCCAGAATTATAAGAACATAACATGGATTCTCAAGATTTATCAAATTGAATCATCTTTAGATATAAGCGATAAATACAAACTAATATCGCTTTCACTTTAATATAATTCCCTACATTGATAAATATCTCATTCTCTTTTGGTTTTATCCCAATATCTATTATTGGTAACATATGATGAAGCATCGAATTAATCCATCAATAATATCCGTAATATTTGATTTGAACCATACAAAGGTTATAATTATACCTTTTTTTTTTTTTAATTTCAAATCAAATCTTATAATATGTTTCTTCTTCACATAATTTTATTTGCTACAAAAGTAACACTTTATTGTGAAGATATTCTTTGATGAGTTTATATAATAATTATAAACTCAGATGGAATTACGCTTCATCCTTATTTTAGTGTTACCTACTCCTTGAGTAGTACTCAAAATATTATGAGTCTTGAACTTACAACTTTTATCATTTATTTTTAAGGATATAATCTTAAATTCCTCAAATACTATCATAGTAAGGTGTCAACTAATGACTTATCAGATAATTTAAATTGATCCTTAGATATTCTTATGCGCAAGTTGTAAACTGTACTGAAGTTTAAGTATCATAAAATTGAGTATTTCATGCCTTTCTTGATCAGTCACCTCAATTATTTATTTCACAGAACTTTCAGTAATTAATATTATGTTCTGTTCAATTAATCTGATCAAGGTCTCACTCACTCAATACAACTTGTATATGCTCAAGCCATTTGTTTCACAAAGTATAGGGACATTTACAGAAACACAATAAAGGAAGTGCCACAGTAATAATATAACATTAATGCTTTGAGTTTCCAAAATACGATGAACTATTGATATCATCTATATTTCACCTTTGGGTGAAATATTGACATATCTAGTGTTCACTCAAGATCTCTTACGGAGGACTGATACCATTCTTGTGGAATAGTGTTGTTACCTTTGGGTATACAACCCTAAACTGCAAGAATATCCAAAACAATATCATCCTTCCCCATCACATAATTATTTGAAATAGATTCTCCTTTGGGATTATCTAAATCTCATAATTATATGTACCATCGTGAATATTATTTTATTTAATGTCATTTAGGATGAATTCCATAATGTATTTTATAGATTATTAGTCCAGGTCACTTTGGTGGCTACAGGACCAATACAAAAATATAAAATACAGTCTAAAATATCCCATGAATGACATAAACTTTATTGTAATTCATATCCCATAAGCCTATCATCCCAGGCTACTTTGGTAACTACCGGTCAGATAAAACTTAGAAATATAAATTACAAATAATATTCACTAAATTTCTTTATCCTGATTCATTCTGTCATTATGAATATTATTTTATTTAATATCATTGAGGACTAAATTCATAATGTATTTTATAAATTATCAGTCCAGGTCACTTTGGTGGCTACAGGACCAATACAAAAATATAAAATACAATCCAAAATGTCCTATAAATGATAAGACCTTTATTATAATTCATATCACAAAAGTTTATCATCCAAGGCCACTTTGGCAGCTACAAGTCAGATAAAACTTAAGGAGATGAATTACAAATAATATTCATCAAATTTCTTTAATTTATACTAAG